TTGTCCTGGAGTTCTGATACAGATGGTGTTGTCATGGTTTGCATCCAGCTTCACAGTGCTGAGAAAACAGAGAAAACAAAACATCTTTTTTCTTTTAATCTGGGAAGCATTTCCACCCCCGCAAAACACAAAAGATGGGCACAGAGAATACAACAGGGGGTATATGGGCTTCAACAACAATTCTCCCTGCAGACTGGTCAGTGATATTTTCCAATATATTGTTGGATGACTTTGCAACTATTTCTCTTTCAAGCAAACATATTCTCATTTACCTCTCCTGGCTCTGCCTTAACTCATGAAGGAAAATATGAGGGACAGAATGAAGTCAATCAAGGTAAAACATAAAAAACAAGAGAGAGAGAGAAAAATGTGACTACATCGGTAGGTTTCTTTAATATATAGCTATTTATGAAGGCATCAAATTTAATCAGAATCCTAGTCATCAAAATAATGTGAAATAACACAGCAAGAAATTGCCAAAGTTGATTGATTTTCCGCTTAAATGACCACACCTGCCAGGGAGGCTGAGGGAAATATATTTGTCTAGCCTGCCACTCTGTCAACAGCAGGCATCAAGCACAAAGACTGTTGTCAAGCACTGACAGTGAAGAATGTTTCCCACTGTTTCTGATTAACCGACAGCAAGCAATAGATAAATCATCAGAGTGCTGCTCTAGATCCACAGCTTCTCTAAAGCCACCCTCAGCCATCTGTTAAAGAAAGGCTGCCTGCAGAGCTGCACAGGGCCACAGATGTCATGAAAGGCCACAGGGACTGTAAACGAACCCACTTCCTCCCTCCACATCGATCAGTCAAAGGCAGACAGTCTGAAGCACCAGTGATGAGCCTCCATTTCCATTTCTGTTAAGTGTCTAAAGGCAGAACCAGAACGACATGGTCTTCATCTTTCTCCTTCATCATAAGCACAACGTTGCTGTGAGAAGAATGCCTCAGCTGTGATACTGAGAAATTAAACAAAGAAGAGTTGCAAGGAAACCATGCATCATTTACTACCTCCTGTCGACTGCAGGTCTCAGCAGCTGGCACACCAGTTTGTCCATCACAGATTCAGGAGGGAACAACAGGTGGGGATTTCTGTTACAATTCAAACCATTCGCTCTGATTATAGATCGTAGACAAACCTGCCAGCACACTAATGGCAGAGTGATCACTGCTTCTGTAAACCTGCAGTATACTCATGATAACATCAAAGATTCAAGAGGACACTTAAGAAAACTCTACTTATTTCCTAGCCAGAGGGCAACACTGCTTCTTCCTCATTTGCAAATAAATGTCTCCAGGAACACTTTAACTTACACATTACTGCCACTCAGTGGCAACACTGAGTAGTTCACCTAAAATGTATACAACTACTTTCATTGTCAATCAATCTGCAGGTTCATTTCTTGACTAATTGTTTGGCCTATAAATATAAGAAAATAGTAAAAAATTTAATTGAATTAAAAAATAAAAAAAAAATCACAGTTTGTGACACTTACAATTTCCCTTAAACTTAGGTTGACATCTTCAAACTTTAACTGTCTGTTGATCCACTCACTGGTTAATCCGCTACTTGTTTAAGCTCTACTTAGGTCTAAGTACAAAATCTTTGTTGGAATTCTTGAATAGCCAAAGTAGTTGCAAATTTCACATTTTTCAGTTTTACATTCATTCATTAAATTTGCTGTGTTGATTAATATTTCTAATAATAAAAACTGTACTAATTATACTTTATTTATTTTATTTCATTTTATCATATTTCATTTTATCATATTACCAGATGGTCTCTTTTCTTGCTATAGCCTTGGTGCTCAGTGTGTATTGTGATGTTACCCTGAATTTCCCTGCTGTTTTAGCTGCTCATTCATGCTAATTATCAAGTTCTTACAGTTGCTGCTCTGAGTAATTGCTGCTGCCAGAAATGTAAAATGCATCACTTCCTATGTGTCAGAGGATTTCTCCATGTAAGAACCTTTGTGAACCTAAAGCTTTCACAACCTAGGTATTGGCTGATTTAAGCAACTATTTTCTACACCCTCTACAACCTCAGTAATGAAAAGAAAAACAGGCTTACATTCTGAAGGAAAATAATGAAATACTAAGGCAGTTTAACCAGTTTACAATGAATAAACTTTTATTTTTCCATTAACTAGGTGTACTCTAGATGACATCAAGGCATTCCTTTACAACTCCTGGACTCCTGACAGCCACCTCTGCACCACCCAGGACAGTAAATAGTTCAATTACACCTTAGCAGGTTAATTGTCAAAAGGATTTGACTGTTACCAGCTGATTAGCTCTGCTGCTGTTCAATACAGCTATTGGATAACACTTGCGTGCTTGGCACCACTACAAAGCTCGCTGGCCAGCGATGAACAATAAGAGCTTCATGGGTGAGCTGGGGACTCAGTAAAGTCTCCTTTAAGATATAAATATTGGTGCACTCCAGTGACATGAGAGGAAAGATAAGTACCCACCCTGAGGCGAGGTGGATGAAAAGGGGAATGTTTGTGTTTGTGTGAGCTGCTGAGCAGCAAAAAGAAAAATGATTTATCATGGTGGACATGATTTTCAGATGGAAAGGTACTGTATTTCAGAGAATCTATGAGAATCTATATTTCTGTTCCCCATGCAAACTGATGTTATAAAATACATATATATATATATACCTTTCAGCTAAGCCTAGGCTGCTCTTGTAAGACTGGGATCCATTCTTGTGCTGGGAGAAACTTCAAAGACTTGCGCCTTCACCAGAAAGCAGCACAGACACACCTAATGATGCATCACTGTGATTGACAGGACTGCTCAAACATTAACCAGCTTTGGCAGGCTCTGTGCTGGATTCTGGATTCAGTTGAACAGGGGATAATTATCTCTGCTGCTGTTATGGATCTGCTCCAGCTAAGTGAAACACGCAAGGAAAAGTGGATGCAGGGCATTAATGTATAAGAAAAGGCATCAGACAGTGATGGATTAACTGTGACAACAAAGAGGATGTTGCAACTTTACACTCTGACATGGTTTAATGTTAAATGAGGAGATGTAAATAGTGTGGATAGCTCTTAAAAGTTGTATTCTTTTCTGCATGTTTTTTTTATATTTATACCTCTCTAATGTCTGTAATGAGATTTTTGTTAGAGATGGCATTTTTAAGATTATAAACTGGAAAATTTACAGAAGAAAAGCCAACTTGCCTGAATATATTTCTTAAAGGAATATTCACCTGTATTCACCCCATTCAATCTTAGCTCAAGGCCCATTTAGGGGCTGCTCTGGAGCTTTCAAAAAAACATCAAAGGGTTTTCATAAACTGATGATTGAGCTCCAGAGGTGAGACTGATTTTTCAGCTGCTGTTTCCAAGGGCAATAATGAATGTTACACCTACAAGCAGTCCTTAAAGTTTTCAGAAAATTGGAAATTTGATCATTTGAACAATTTCACGACCTGCTGCTGCTGAGGATCATGTGATATAATCGAAGGCTCCGCAAAAGCTAATGAAAAGATATCGAGTTATTATGAACTGCTGCTTCCCAAGGTCAAGAATTAACTTTAAAACCCAACATTCACAGTTAGTTGTATTAGTTATAATTTAATGGTTAAAATTATTCTTATGATCCTTGGTGATTGTGACCATGAACTGTGTGGCTGACAATAAGTTCTGTGGCTAAAAAGACAAAAAACTGCAGAAAAGCAAAGGTGCCATTAACTGAATTCATTTTGGCTGCTTTGTTGTTCCAGCTCCAGAGCCCTGCTACATGTTTGCTACTGGGACCCTTATGTGGTGGAGCCATCATTAATTAATGCTATTGGTTACACCTGTGATTGTCTGGCTCTGACAAAGCTGCAAAGGAGCACATTTAAAACCAAATGGACAAAGCGTTTACAGAGAGAATAAGCATACAATTAGGTAATTAAAATTGGTATTAGAATTAAAAAATACTCAAAGTACCAAATGAAAAAGTAGCCTACTCGTTATGCAGAATGGCCCTTTTCAGAATCTTTATCTAAGATCTAAGTCCTTTATAGGTATACTGCCAGGTAGCTTACTCTACTAAGTAATATTTTATTAATTTATTATATTTTATATTATCAATTTCAATCTGCAAAGTAACTCATAAAGAAAGCTGTCAGATAGTGGAGTAAAAAGTACAAACACTGGCTTCCAAAATGTGGCTAATGGAGTAGAAGTATGAAGTAGCATAAAATGGAATTTATCAAGCAAAGTAAAAGTACAGCAACCTCAAATCTGTACTTAAGTCAGTGGTGGAGGAAGTACTCGTTTTTTTTTTTTATTAAGTAAAAGTAGCAGTTCCACAGTGTAAACATACTTCACACTAAAGTCAACTTTTTTGTGGTCGTTATGTGTCTGTGTAGTCGTTTTACATCTTGTTGTTTTGTGTCTATGTTCATCTTTCTAGTCGTTTTGTGTTTATGTTCATCTTTGTAGTCGTTTTGTGTCTATGTTCATCTTTCTAGTCGTTTTGTGTCTATGTTCATCTTTCTAGTCGTTTTGTGTATGGTCGTTTTGGGTGTCTTTGTGGTTAAGGTTAAGTTTTTTTACCAGCCAGTTCACTAATTCATACATGAGTAGACTAAAAAGTATATTTGTCTGATGTTTGGAGTAAAGTAGCATAAAATTGAGTTTTACAGTACTTGAGTTACTGTAGGCAACTCAACAGGTATGTTAGCTACATGTGGCACATTTAGCATCAGCATTCAAAATTAACAGGTTTGGTCTTTACCTTCTTGTGTGCGCAGACCACACCACAGTGCAGCGGTTACTGTACGCCACCAAGTGTTTAATGTGTATCAGCTTTTCTTGAGTGACAGCGGGAGCGCGCTTCACGCATACACCTCCATCCCCTCAACGGTCGTGTAGCGCGTGGCTGATAAAGCTGCAGGGCGCGCGCTGGTAACACAAGGTTTGATCATCTGTCACACACCGACAGCTACAGCTGGGCTGCTTCTGTGCGCGTTCACGACGTCTCAGGTTTGGAGATGTCGGTGCCGTCTCCGCGCTCCCGGTGGACGAGGGAAAAGTTATTTTGTCTCCTTAAAGGAATCCAACTAAAAGGAGAAAATGTTTAGGTAAGTAACTGGAAATCAAGTAAAAATTTGTCTTGGTTCAAAGCAGAACTTTAAAGGTGTTTGTTAGGTTTTAGTAGAATTCATATTTTCAACTTCAAGATGTTTATTCCGTTTATCTGTCAGTCTGAGAAAGAAGTGGGGAAACTTTACTTACTTATTTGTGAGCTGGGGTCTGGATGTGTTTTTGATTTAACTAGGGTTTTAGGGAAAATAACATGAGAACATGAATGTGATGAAAAATACATTTGGTTTTACTCGATTAACTGTCTATCGCTGCCACATTGCTTAGCACGGATCTCAAACTGAGACCCAGACCCCCTTTTAAGGGGTTTTTGTATGGTGGACACCTCGCACACTGATTCAAGTGGAGTTGAGTATACGTCCTTTATGTCCTCTGCTGTCCACTTTCTCAATTTGGATTTTTTTTTTTTTTATGTTTTTTTGTCCTTATTTAGTTGTTTAGATGTATAGTATATATTGTATGTATCTTCTTTATTACCAATTCTACAGTTTTTTAATCTTAGTGCCTTTGAATGTTTTAAGTTTTATGGTCAACAATATTTTTCTTTCTATATACTGTGTGTTTATCTTTTGATCTGGCTGCTGCATACACTACAGCTGCTCTAACAGGGATAAATAAAGTTGTATTGATTGACTGTAAATGCCAAGCTCAAAGCCCATTAAAACAACAAAGGGGGTTATTTTAGAGTCACTGACTTTTTCTGATCATTTTTTATGTTTTTTTTGTGATTTATCTTTTTCAAGAAATGACTGTGGACTGTATGTTATTTGCAGTGTTAGACCATGTACTAAATAGTAATACAACAGTATAGAAATACTTCATTACAAGGACTCAATCTTTCTTCAGTAAAAGTACAGACTCAATATCAGCAGAACTGACTAAAAGTATCAACAGTCAAAGGACTTGTTATGCAGAGTGGCCCATTTCATGTTACAGGAAGCTATGAAGCTGCCTGACCTCATTGTATCTACTTTATATACTGCTTTGCTTACTCTCATGTACAAGCATTATCTTGTGAGCAGATCATATGATGTTTGGATGTAATGTCTGACTGCCATGAAACTAAAACTAAAGAGGTCAAATGAATGTAGTGGAGTAGAAGTATAAAGCAACAAAAAATGTAAATACTTGGAGTATCTCAAATTCTACTTAAGTACATTACTGAAGTACTTTCCACCACATACAGTATATGTATGTCATAAACCAGTTTGTCCTGAATTTAAAGTAAAGTCATCCTGGTTATAGAGGTTATAGGTTATATTTTTCTAAACAGAATTTCCTAAAAATTGATTTAAATGCCATTCAGTAAAAGTGACAGTGAGGAATGTCTTTTTTGAAAGCTTTGGTGTTTAGTCTTAAAATCATAACAGATGGCACTAACAGACACACTGAGGGCTGTGGGGGATATTTTGAGTGATGAAAAGTGAGCAGCCCTGTGGAATTTTTCTAAACCCAGAAACATTTCAAATCACAGTGTTTACCTTTACATGTGTTTCCTTTTAACTGTGGGTTTTTAAGCTTTAAGAAAAAAACCCCAGCCTGTGAAAAGAAAAGGAGTTAGAAAAGCTCTCAGGCGAGAGAAAGACAGGAGAAATCCCTGTATGATACGGCGAGTGTAACACAAATTAATCTGATTAAAGAATTACAGCATTCCATGGCTGAATCTCACATAATCATCCAGGGCAGGTTTGCAATGTTGTAATGTTGAAAGTTCAGCTTCCCTGTGGTAATTTGTACTTCTAACAGCATACAAAAACTATACCCCTGCTTTAAAAATGTCATGCCTAATTACAATCAATTATACTCTACAAAGGAAGCTGTCTTGGCATCCAATGACCACTTCCTTCTAGAGCATTTACACACACACACACACACACACACGCACACGCACGCACGCACGCACGCACGCACGCACGCACGCACGCACGCACGCACGCACGCACGCACACACACACACACACACGCCATCAGGTGAGGCAGTTTGGGTTAATGAGTGACTAGACTGGGCAAAGCACAGGTTTACTTTACACAGAGAGAAACTAAATGTGGGAACATGTCACCTAAATTAAACTGCAGATAATCCAAAAATACTTAAGCCTGGACTGAAAACATCAGATGGCAGCAGGTCAAAGTTCATGAGGGTTTTGTTCCTGACTATTGTTCTTTGTTGAGGTTAAGACTGTGGGTTTATACACAGTTTTTCAAGCTTTTGACTTTGTTACTGCTTGTTAAAGTTTAATACAATTAATACAATAGATGTTGTTGGTTGTGGTTGCCCCAATACAGCAAAAGGTCTCTCAATCTGTTCTCATTATAAAGTGCAAACAAAGGGCAAGTACACTTGAGCGTTTATGTACTCAGATAAAGATCAGCTGTATGTGTGCGATGTAGGTGTGTCATATTTAGAAGCAGACAAAACACTGCTGATTGTATTCTCCTCTCCATGGTTGTAGGGGTGTATTGTGTTTCAACAAAAAAGGGAAAACAGAGAAATTTCTTGCAGAATTATGCTCAAGTGTGGTAATAATGTTGCTGATGTCACCCAATCAGACTGAAACCACCAATTATTATCTCTTCAACAGATGAGCGCCCATCCATAAATCAAGCTCGGACAATCAGCCGACACTGATTGGACTCTTTTCCTCTCGACAAGTTGCTGTCTGCAGCCGCTGTGGGAGCCGGAGTCGCCATGGAGACGGTGGTGATTGTGGCCATTGGGGTGTTGGCCACCATTTTCCTGGCCTCCTTCATTGCCCTAGTGGTGGTGTGCAGACACCGCTACTGCCACCCTCACGATCTGCTGCACCACTTCGACTCCAAGTCAGTAAATCAACATGTCTTCAAATCTGTATAAGGCAGAAGTTTTCACTGTGTGGCAGGTTTACCTCTGTGTCTTACAACTTCTATCAGAAGTTAAGCTCGTTTGTATTTACCCTGACTCCAGATAAGAGTGTAGTGGACCCTCTCTTTGCCATAGTGCTTTCTCCCCAGCATTAGCTCCTCATTCAAGCAAAGAGACACCATTAAGGGAAAAAACATCATCCTGTACAGAAAAGGGCATCTGCAAAAAGGGGGAGGCAGAAAGAGTAGTTGCCTTCGCTGCAGCATCAGCAGTTGAATTACCCTGTGACACTGGACCGGCAGAACCTGTATGAGCCTTTTGCATACTGCAACAGAGGCAGGGAGAAATAATGCAGACAAGAGTTTAATGGCAAGAGTTCTATAGGAAAGAGGTTTGCCTGTAGAGATAAGAAAACCAGAGTTTTTCCACAAAGCATGGAAGACACGACATATTAAACACATACTGAGAATCAGTGTGATATCCTGTTCTGCTACTAGAATGAAAACACAAGTTAAGGCAAATAATTCATGAGGAAGCCTGGCACCTTCATCTATATGAATGTTCAGTACATACTGTATGGCGTAGGAAACACAAGGGAAACCATTATATGCATTTCTCACGGTGGAACCATCGACAAATAACACAGAGTCACACAAAAACACAGAGGTCAGGAAGAGGTGTGTTAAATAGTGCATCACATGGTTTTGACACAATGGGAACCACCACCAGAGAGGGATGTGGTTCTCCATCTTCAGTTGTAGGAAGCGGAGTTGAAGGGTTACATGAGTGGACAGCATGCAGGACATGAACAATTGCAGGACACATAGCATTAATATCAGCTGTGGCCAAAACTGCTTTGGTAGCAGCTGCTACAGCGCTTACACATGCTACCATAGCCCTCTCTGTGGTGGAAAGGTGTTTCGAATAGTAACTTATTGGTCACTCTTTGTCACCATGGGACTGAGTGAGGAGTGGTACCTCTTTGTGATCTAGTTTGCTAGTCTGAGGTTTCAAAATTTGTCTTAACCCAAGGTCCCATGGCCACCCAGGCGCTATCTGAGTATTTTGTCAATGTGAGGGACAGAGCCAAGTATTGAAAACAGATTTTCCTGAGATTCAGAAAGGGTTATTGATGCAGCTGCAAAACTTAAACCCACAAATACTATTTTTGTTATGTCACCATATTATGCATTCAAGTTCTCTTCATAGGTGTAATCTCTGCTTCCTGGTGAGAAATGTGACACACACTGCAGACATTCAGGTGTCTCTTACATTTGTAGTACTATAGACTATATCACTAAGGTTTAGGAGCTCCCTAAAATAAATCACTCCCAGAAGTACAATCAGGATATGGACCAGCAGTGAGAGCACACATAAAGGCTCGGCCAAGTAGATTAACAGGGCATAAATCAGAGAGAAGAAATGGGTGCTCACCTCTATAATCCCCAAAACATACAGGTAGTGGTTCAGCTATTGGTTCAAGTCCTGGAATACCTGATGCACCTAATCGTTTTAGGAATGTAGTTGTTTTAGGGGCATTAGGGAGCACTTTATATTGGATTACAGCCATCATTGTCATCTGGTGCACATCTCCTGTGCATCGCCAGTAGCCAAAAGAGGCTGCTATTGGAGAAAGGGACTTCCTGGGAGAAGCAAGGTTAGTTTGTGTTTCCCAGTCTGTCCCTGCCCAGTCACTGGCCTAGGGTTCAGAGGGAGTGTGGACACATCAGAGTACATTGGTTTATCTTCCTCTCCGCTGTCTGAGTCTTGCTGGCATTGTTTAGCTGCAGGGTGGCATCACTGCATGTGGAGGAGGTGTCCTTGGTGGCTGTAGGCACGGGACCGCGTATGGAGGAGGTAGAGCCCTATCTCTAGCCGTTTTTGTATGTTTGTACTTGCATCTTCCATTTCTTGATTCAATGTTAATCCTGCCACTGATTTTGCTTCCCACAGTTCTTCTCTTTCCCAATTCTGGAAAGTATGCCAGTCTTTTATATATATATATATACATATATATATTGTTCTTGATTTTTTATATAAAGTATCACCGACTAAAGTGCATCAACATTCATGAATATCGTAAATATATATGACATACAGTATGTCAGTAAATTACAAAATAATACTGATATTATTAATATTAAATTAACTAGAATATTATGCAGCCTTTATTCATATCTCATTCATTACTGTTAATGCTAGAGTCCATTAGTGTTGGGGTCTTCTATGCACTTTCGGTGCATTTCTTTACCTGATCTTCTTGTACTTATCGAATAGATGTAGCATTTAGTACTTACACAAGGTTTCCTACTGCACTGAAGTTTTATTGATATCCCTCACTTGTAAGTCACTTTGGATAAAAGCATCTGCCAAATGTCTTACAAAGCGCTTTGCACCTCATTTATTTACAAAAATGGTGTAATCATTTGCTCGCAGTTTGTCATAAAATCATTATTTGGCTGATAACAATTTACTGACACTATATGGACATAATCCTCTATCGAAGTATTAGTGTAACCTGTTCTTTTTGTGACTAAATGATTTGCAACATTATGACTTCATAAATTATTCTTAAAGTCAGTCCAACATTAGATCATGTTGGCAGTTATAGTTGACTAATGTATGTAAACTTGCCACCTTAGGAACAGTGGTTACGTAACCTTTGAAAATTAGAAACTCATGCATCAGAGGTGGATGCTGGTACTTAAACATATAGCACTACATCCTTGATGCACGGGGTTGGGTGTGGTAGAGACTTTGGATTTAACATCATATATTCATAGATATTCATTTTTGAGAATTAGGAAATTGCTTCACTCAGCTTTCCTTCCTTTGCTTTGCCTGTTGTGTTTCACAGACCCACAGTTGATCTGATCGGAGCCATGGAGACTCAGAGTGAACCGTCAGAGCTGGAGCTGGACGATGTTGTCATCACCAACCCTCACATCGAGGCCATCCTGGAGAATGAGGACTGGATAGAAGACGCCTCGTATGTCCTAACAGTAGCATTGTAGCATGGCCTAAATTTAGAGTTTCATATGATGTTACTTCTATCAGAGCAGCCATTGTTTCATCAGTGCCATAAATTTCAGCTAATTCTGTGCATTTTTCTCCAACAGTGGTCTGGTCTCTCACTGCATCTCCATCCTAAAGGTAACATAAGTTCTTACTTACTCTTTATTTTACAGTCACGGACTGAAAGAGCGTAGTTTCTTCTGGGGATGGGGAGGACAGGTCCCTGTCACTTTTAAAAATCCAAATTTTGTTCCTCTGTCTCTCTGAATGTTGTCCAAACCAGAGAAGATCTGATTTTCTTTCAATTAATACTATGCACTCAAAGTTCTGTAATTAATTAATCTGAAGATTATTTTTAAAATTAAATCAATTAATCGTTTGGTCTATTAAACATAAGAAAACACTGAAAAATGCCCATCAAAATATCCTAGAGCACAGGATGAAGTTAACAAATTGAAGCCCATGAAAAGCAGCAAATTCTCACATTTTCTCACATAAAACTGAAATACATGTAATTGTCAATAAATCCTCCTCACAACTTCACAAACCCAAAGGCGGAGTCTTCAAATGTCTTGTTCTGTCCAACCGGCAGTTAAAAACTTTATATTATATAATATTTCATCTACTGTGATGTGTGACAAAGAAAAGCAGCAAATCTTCTCATTGGAGAAGCTGGAATCAGAAATTGTTCTGCATTTCTTCACTAGTTTGATTACCAAAACCACTAAAACCATCAATAGATTACCAAAATAGTTATATATCTATATATCTATAGATATGTACATATATCTAACCAACATATAACCATTAGCCTACCAGTGTTCCCCAGGGCCCCCCTTCCCCAATCTGCTCTCCTCACACTCGCAATCCGAGGTTGTGAATTATAGGTTCTCAGTGGAGGCTAGTATCTGTTGGAAACACCTGTAGCTTGTACCGGATTTATACTGACAGGCTACAGCAGCAACAGTATCAACGTATTAACCTACAATCTGTAGCCAAATGGCATAGGCAAGCACATACTGCCCCACCTCCACCCATACAGTTCTATGATTCAGACTCTTCAGTCTCTCACACACACACACACACACACACACACACACACACACACAGAGAGAGAGCAAGAGAGAGAGAGAGATTGCTATTGTATTACTCTGCTTAGGTAGACGATAACAAATAATGTATGTAACCTGTATCATACAGGATTTCCACCAAATCAACCTTCCTGGTATAGAGACACAATGATACAATGTCAAATAGGTTCTGGACTGCCCCTCATTGTATTAATACAACACCTCGGACACAAGAATATATACCTTAAATCAAGATAGTCCATAATGTGTGAACAATAATATGAGAGAGAACCTACTACAGGTGAAGGTCCTCTTTCTGGGCTTTCTCGTCAAAAACTCCCCCACCACATCATTAAAGTCCAGGCTCTGAGGAGTCCCGGTTCTGTCGTTGTTTCCTCCTCCTTGTTTTCAGTTCATTTTTAATTCTCTTTATAAAGTAACCGGTAACCTTTTCACTCTACTCAGGTGGAGATAAGGGTGGGGCAGGTGGGCAGGTGACTGTCGCTGCGGCTGTCTGCCTCTGTTTCACGCTGATGTTCAGCTGAACGTTAACGGCTGCTGCGTCGTTACTGTCCTCCTCCTCTGCGACGTTAGCATCGTCCTCTCCAGGCGCTTTGTTAAAGCTAGCAAGCCGAGTAGCGGACTTTTTAAAAAGTCGAGGTAGATTTTATTTTGACAATCTTTTCTTCTTCTCGCCTTCCCCTTTGCTATCCCACTTCTCCAACGTGGTTGTCTTCCATGGTGTTCTAGGAAGCCCCAGCCATCTGTAACGCTAAATTCCCACGGTCACCACCTGACCTCTGTCGTCATCATCATGATGCCGACTCAGCCAGCACATCGATCATAATATTTTTATTTGTAAAGTAACTCTGCATCCACTGTTTCATATGTCTACATACACACCCTGAATTAATTTAGAAAAAAAATTAGAGAGCCAGGATAAGGCCTCAGTTGGAGGGCCTCTGGAGGTCAGAGGCCCCCAAGCACAGGCCCAGTGTGGCTTGTGGATAATCTGTACTTGCTGCAGACAATATTTAGGCCTGAACAAGTGGTACTGCCAGCTTCTTTTCCAGTTGACATTTTTATTTACAGCTAAGTCTTAAAAGATGCTAGAAATTAAAATGAATCATACAAGAAAGTGGAGCACAGTCTTCTTTGTGGCAAAGATGCAAAGACAAGATTATCTATCTTAAAGGATCAGGTATCCATAAAGGAAACTGGAACTGATTTAGGACTGATGTGTTAACATTACAGATGTTTACAAGGTCTACTTCAATTTTTCAGACATCATCATTTCATATCATGTCATCATTTGTAATTTGCTAGATTGAGTGACTTGATTGACTGATACTAACACATATTTCCACACACAGATCTGCCACACTTTGACTGAGAAGCTGGTTGCCATGACAATGGGCTCGGGGGCAAAGGTCAAAGCACCAGCCAGCCTGAGTGATATTATCACAGTGGCAAAACGTATTAGCCCAAGGTAACATAAGCAATTCACCACAACTTTATATTGCACCGCACTGCTGCCATCCTGCCTTGTCCTCACGTCCTCACTGTCCTGTCACACAGGGTGGACGACGTGGTCAGATCCATGTACCCTCCTCTGGATCCAATCCTCTTGGACGCCAGGTAATCACGGCTTTTTTTCCCATTTAAATAGGTTTTTTGCATGACTTTGACAGCTTAATGCAAAGACCTGCTGACTGATTACGCATCTGATGGAGCGGGAGAGCAGCGACCACATGACTGGATTTGTCCATAATATAATAATCTTTGAGATATACAGAGATATAATCGAGACTGGAATACAAATGCTCAGGTGTCACAGCAAATTGATGCTACCGGGAAACTCACAAGTTTTTATCATTTACTCAAAGTAAATTGAAACTTTATGAAATCCCTCATGTGCTGTGTTACTTCCAGGACTCATTCTCAGCCTGTTCTTGCTTAATCTTTTTTTAAAAGATGCTTTTCATCCAGCAGCAGCTCCACCAAAAAGAAATCTAGTTAAATGAAACCTATTTGTCCCATTCTTTCTCCTCAGGGCCACTGCTCTGCTCCTTTCAGTCAGCCACCTGGTGCTGGTCACCCGCAACGCCTGTCACATGTCCGGCAGTATGGACTGGATCGACCAGTCGCTCCACGCAGCTGAAGATCACATGGTGGTTTTGCGTGAGGCAGCGCTGGCCTCTGAACCGGAACGAAGCATACCTGGAGCTGACGCACAGAGAGAGCAGGCCATTTAGAGCAAGCACAGATACTGACACAAGCAAACAGCAGCAGAGGGGCATGAGATTGTGTCATTTATGTCCTTCAGCTCTCTCCCTTTCTAAATTCTGTACACAGTTTATACTAAACAGGCACATATTCTACCAGACAGCGCTGAAACGGCATGCTTCCCAAACTCATCATCCAGTCCAAATTAATATGGACTTCTGATCAGTAAACAGGCTGAACAGGTTGTGCTGATGGATGCAGGGACCTGACTCTGTTCCTCATTTAAAAGAAAAGAAAAAAAAACATGGAGAATTTTTTTTTTTTTTTGTCACATTGCAACAAGGAGCTGCATTCACTGCAGCTACATAGTAATTGCTATAAAGTAGATGTCATACATTCACAGTCACGTGTGTGTGTGTGTGTGTGCAGATGTTCTTAGAGTTGGTCTGTTAAAGATGTAAGCTGCCTGCAATTAAAGGGCCTTTGGAAATTTCTTCTTGAGTGCACCATCACCCAGCGGTGGGCCTAAATCCAATCTCTCTAGCACTGCACAGTCACATGGAGGCTTAGTCAGCTAATCCATTCTGAGGAAAATAACACCCAGTTAGTCAGTGAGCTCCAACTCAGCAGACCAATGGAAGACCAACCTGACTGACTTATGATCTGTGAGGTCAACGTGACTTGTGGATGTTCAAAAACATCCCTCAGATACTCCTAAGCTGTTACAAATCACCTGTCTGCGGGTTCTCTTGTGTGGCTGAAGAGATGAGCCTCAGTAGTTTTACACATCAGCAGAGTAAAAGTTTTTTCAGTTGTTGTATTCTATTATGATTAATGGAGGCTGTTACCAACCGAGAACCTGGTATCTCTTCCTCTCGAAGGTTATTAGCCGTGCTAGCAGCACGCTTTGGGGAGTCAGTCCAGCACTTTGGTCTAGAATAATATATCCCAACATCTACTGGATGGATTGGCACACATTTGGACAGGCATTCATGGTTCCCTGTGGATGAATCCTATTGACTTTGGTGATCCACAATCTGACTTTTCCTCTAGCACCACCAACAACTTGGATTGTCATGAAAGAGCACTAGTTCTAGATTGATTGGCACAAAGATTTGGACAGATATTCACATCTCCCTGAGGATGAATTGTAATAACTTTGGTGATCAATTACTTTTTTGCCTAGCACCATCATCAGGTCAATGGCCCATACTTTGTTTTATGTTCTTTAATTAAGACCCCAATTTTTTTTTTTTTTTTTTTTTTTATTAAAAATTTCCTTTCAAATTCAACTGTGTTTCTATCTACATGTGACCAGGGATGAGACAAAGATACAAATATCAAAGCAGACCCAGAGCTGCTAGGTACATCTATTAGTGATTTTCATGTCACTGTTCTGAGACACAGCATGTCTTTGTGTTTGCTTGTGTTATGAGGATGTTTTGAACAGTGTGTTGATTGAGGTGAAGCAGAATTAGCGTGTTGTTTTCTGCCAGAGGGATGTTACTGGAGCATGTCTACCTGTTCCCTCATGCATAGCTAATAGTGAATCCCCAAAGAGCCCTAATAAGGCATTACCCACAGCCATAATGAACACACGGGCTCCAGCTACAATACGCATGGCACAAACCTTTGTACACCAGCAGCTGGCAGACAAATGAACACATCAGTACATCATATGACACACAACTGTTAAAATACACATCATGGATTATGGAGTCAAAAGCGCTTGTTTTAAGACTCTGGTGACAATCACTGAGGAGGGAAGAAAAGCAGCAGTTCCGTTAATCGAAAACGAACTGAAGCAAAAACTGTAGCTCCGAACACGCAGAGATGTTTTGATGGAAAGGTTTCGATCGTGGAGGAAACATTTAGAAAGTGGTTAGCCTTTTTTTTCTTGTTTACATTGTTTATTAGCATTGATCTCTTTTGTAAGCACTCCTTTGTTTTCTCATCCTTATCCCACAGTTTGTTACTAATGTCCTTTTACTCCCACACACCTTTTCTTTTTTTATCTTTCATTGATTTGTACAGATAAAATGAAGTTTCATAGGAAAATGTGTTTTGTTTTTGCTCTGGACAATAGCTACAGAGAAATCCATGTCCGATAAAAAGTCCACACACCATACTAATTTGACATAAATAAAAGTGAATTTTTTTCTTCTTTTTATTACGTTGTGAGTAGTCCTTTGTGCAACAACATGGGGGTAATGTCCCCCTGCCATCTTCCCTTCTCAGAGGAGGAGGAAGTCCCTGCCACAGGAGCGTCAGTCATCCTCCACGTGTCCTCACGGTCTAGCAAAGCAACCCTTTGCTTTTCTTCAGATCAATTTGCTTCCAGCTCGGGAGGGAGGCGTATTCATCTCTCTTCAATTCCAAAATAGTCTGAAACATAATTGTAGTGATTTAATAATGGAGTAAACAATTTAAAAAACATTTCATAAAGTTTAGACTAAACTTCCTCTCAGGATTCATCATAAGATTATAAACATGAGAATATCTCTTTTCATTTGCCAAATCTGGTGAACACTGCGGCCTGCTGGTTGAAAGACATCACTGCATGGTGCTGGCGCTGCTCCTCCATCAGTTTACCTGGAAGTCCTGGTCAGACAGGTAGACCTCCAGCTGCTGGGGGTCCACTCCTTCAGGTAAGGGGCTCCGCAGCAGCTCCTCCAGAGGGTACTGGGTCTTCATGAGCTGGGCCAGGGCGTCCTGCACCAAGGTCAGCTTTACCCTCCCTGTGTCGCCCTGACACGCACCGACAAACATCAAACACACACAGCAGAGGAAAAAGACAGTGCTAATAATTAAACTCCAAAATAGATCTACAAGATACCAAAGAGATATTAGATGTGTACTGTAGATTTAGACAGTGCTTAAAGAGGTAACTTGATGTCAGTCAGTCAAGGGTAAGATACTTTAATACTTAATCATTTGTTACCACAGTATGTGACTCATTCATTAAAAAAGTCTCTCTAATATGGTTTTTTGAAGGCAAAATATCACCAGTATTTCTAGACTGATTACCGTCATTTTGTTGATCTTCCAAAACGTTAGAATTTAACTTTAAAGCCAAAAAATAACATGAAGTGATTACAATCAGAATCTGCTCTTGTCAGCGTGAAGAAGCTGCCTGCAAACTGCCTATTGATTTAACAGAGAGACTGAAAGTTCTCCCTGATAGACAAGTTGAGTCATCTTTAATGTGGCAGCCTGAATCTAGTCTGATGAAATCCTTTTAGAGGTAAATGCACTTTAAAGCACAAGGAACCCATTTACCTACGCAGTAATAAGGGCAATTTCAAGATACATTACTTTTGTACAAAACACAGGAAAGTGCAACTGATGAATGAATAAAGTGACAGTAAAAGGAAAATAAATGGTAGCAGGTTTTATAGACTGTATTTATGTGGACAGCTGATGTGGCTGGCTGACAATAATAAAGCAGACATTATGGGCTGAAAGAGCTATAAGTCACCCACACACATACGCCGGAGGAATACACAACATCTGCCCTCATTACTAGATGACAATCATATACCTGCATGGTGCTTGTACCTGTGTGTGGGGTCCCAGGCTCCTCTCCCAGTGGGGGAAGACATTAGTGAAGGTGAGAGGTTCAGACCCCTCTAAGATGAGGTACGCCTGAGGTGGGCGTCTTGGGTTCATCTCTGCAGAGCAAAAAAAAAAAAAAACAACAACAACAAAAAAAAAAACAGCACATTTTTAAACTCATCAAGCACCAGCAATGCTTTCTTTTCCGCGCCATCCCTGCCCAACTGCTGCCCCCCCCCTACCTTTGCAGTACTGCAGCGCCGTCTGCATGGCGCACCTCCTCTCATTGTGCCAGCGGCTCCAGGCCGAAGCTGAGCTCTCAGTCTGCTCAGGCTGACCCCTCTGCCACAGGTAGACCTCCAGACGGTTGTCTAGCAGGAACAAGGCTGGCAGACAGACAAGAAAGAGGAAACATTAGGCAATAAGTGGAACTAAATCAGTTTAATGCTAGATTAAGGCTTTGATGTTCCTGTGGGATGTTTTTGTTTTGGCAGCCAGAAAAAAGAGAAAGTGATGTGTAATAAAAGTCGATTTTGACTTAGAAGTCTTAAAATATTATATACCTCATATATTTGTTATTTATTTATATGTTATAATTTCATTCTTATGGCATGTGATAACTGAACCATCTCAATGAAACCTGAGCAAACTCCATCTGTTAATGAAGGCCACGAGGATGTGGCTGAAAACACTGGAAAACATCTAGTAAATGGACCTTTTTCTAGTCAAACTGCTGTATCCAAGGTGAATAATGAGACCTCAAGCTCAATATTAAAAAAATGATTGTTTGTGAAAATTTTATACATTTGCTTTCTAAATCAAATTCTCAAGTTGTGGACGTCTTGATTTTATATTTCAGTGAATCTTGTAACATACTTGAGGATATAGTTAAAGAGAAAAAGAAGAAGGTTTTGGGTGTCATGGTTAAGTTCTGTGTCTGCTCTCACCTGGCTGTTGTACGGAGTACAGGCTCTCCTGGACAAAGGGCATTGCCATCACGAGCCCCGGCAGCCGGCCTGGACTCTGCAGCTCTTCGCCCTGGAAGCTCCCAGAGGAGGCGCTCAGATGGAAGAGACGAGGTGTGAAGTTGTACTTTCCTGGATCTGACAGGAGACAGACGTGTAATTTTCTTTACTATATGCTGTGAGAAATGTCCTGGGTTAAGGAGAACCAAAATGAGCTTTGTTTTCTACCTTGCAGCATGCAGTCATAGGCCTTCCTGTCCATCTGTCCCAGTGCTGTCCAGAAGTCTGCAGGCTCCGAACCTTCTTCTACCACCTCCACCTTCACAGGACTGCCTTTGCTGAGACCCAGCTCTGGTGGACACCTTGTACACACAAAACACACATTTTACTTCGTAAATGTTAAGATCAAAGCTAGACTACAGTCTTTTAAAAGTCCATCTGGTATATATGACTTACATTTGAGTGAGACACTCCACTGCCCTCTTGCTGACCTCTCTGGTGCTAGCCTGGGTTTTACAACCTGTCCAGAGGTACAGCACCCCCTGCTGGCTGTTCAGCAGGACGACAGAGCCCCTGGATCGAAGACCTGCACAGCAGCAATCCACCTCTAACAGAGATCCCTCCTCTGGGAGCTCCCCTCGCACACAGAACAGACGCCACTCCACTGCAAGACAAAGAAACAGACAATAAAAGTCACATTTCAAAACATGAAAAAATTGAACAAAAGAGACGGAAAACTTGCCCTAAAAACAACCTGAATTTACTGCACCTGCGTTAGTGGGGGCCTCCTCTCGCCGGCCCTTATGAATGACCAGGCCTCCCTGGAAAAGCTGCAGGAAACAGGGAGGCTCCTTCCCCTGAGGTACAACCACCTTAAAGAACATAAGAAACACAAAGGCTGTAACGACAATCCTGATTGTACCAGCTTCTATAACTCAATATTGGAAAAAGCACAAAAATGTATTTAATTTATTATCATTAAAGAGTAAATAAAAGCCATGTATTCCACATTTCACAGACATATAGACACATCTGCAGAAGCAGCTATAGATTCCTTTCAGAGCTTGATTATTGTTGTATGAACCTGTGAGATGTGTGAGGTGGAGGGTGTCAACCACATCAAATTATTGGGAATCTATATAACATAAAATCTGTCATGGCCCCTGAACACCATCTCCCATGCATTCCAACACTTTATTACATACATATATATTACATGTGTAATGATTGTTATTATAACAAGTCCTTCATTCATCATGCAGTCCTGTTATACTGCACTGTTAAATTGCCTTTTATGTTCAGATAGAGGATACTTCTTCTATGCTCACATGTCTCTGTATTGTTTTTAACTTCCTGATTCATTGTGCACCTTTTAATACTGCACTGTTTACACTGTCACTGTTTCCCTGTCTCATCCAAGAGCCTTCATTTATTATGTATCGATAGAGGACGCTACATCAACATGTTTATGTTGTCAATTATCTTAACTTTTTCATTTACCTTGTTTTATCTTGTTTTTATTGCTGCTGGTCTCTGAGAGTTACCAAACAGTTGTGTCTCTTATCTTAAAGGATACATGAATGCGCCGCTTGCCTTCAGTGATGATACACTGTATGTGGATGGTTAAAGTATGCTATTCTCTTCTGTATACTCATGAATTCTAAGAGCTACTTAACATTGCTTATGCTTTAACGTTGCACTTTATAAACTCCATATAATATATTACAAACATATCTATTCTTTACTTTATTCTGCTTGGACAGTTGCAGATGCATTTGACAGCACACTGTGCAGCACGCTGTATCTGTATGACTCTGAATGTTATCAATCAATCAGTGAATCTGTATCTAGTGGTTCCTCCTATAGAAGCCCGGAGCTACCAGCCAAGGAAAGAAGATCATCTCTACAGAATCAACCCTTTTTTAGATACTTAATGTTCAAAAATCAATACTGATATTACTGACCGCGTGATATTAACTTGCTGCTATATAGTGAAATAAATGTATAAAGCCTCATAAAAGACTAAGTTGTACTTTTATACCATACGTGAGTAAGATTTGTCACGACTCCAACGGGAGGTTGTAGTTGTGTGTATGTATAGATGTATATGTATGAATAGATGAAAGACATGCACTTACCTGTGATTCTTCGAGGTTGTTCATCCCAATGGACAGGAAAGCCGCAGTGTCACGTCCACTGACGCTGGAGTGACGGCCGCGCCACAGGAAGAAAGCAGTGTTTTCTTTTTCTCCAGGACTACTGCTACCATCCTCCGAATTGTTCGTCTTATCTACAGCAGAGAATGAAAAAAATCTTAACTTTTATATTTCAGGCATTTTTGTTGTAGACGTCCTTGTCCAAGACAGGTTGCACTGACTAAAACTACAGAATAAGCCGCAGCTCCTCATGCATTATCATCAGAAACTAAAAGTAAGGAGTGTGAAGGTTGTGTCCCTTGTTATAATGAACGTCACTAACCAACAGTACTGATGCTGTACGTCCAGCGGATGACGTAGGAGTCTCCCTCATGAAGCTGTCCTGTGCTCGCCACAGGAATTTCACTGTCATCAAACTCCTGGACGTGCCAGGTGTCAACTGCAACCGTTTTCAGCTCCATCTGACGCCCTTCCTCCAGCGTGATGACACCGTGACCTCTCTGGACATCCAGCCCGCCCAGCACGCTGTGGACCAACCCGTCTCCTTCCAGCGACTGGCCCGTCACTAGAGCCTTAGCGTCGCAGGGGCTGAGGAGGTCTGATGCTGGGGAGACGGACTGGGAAGCCTGAACTGGGACGGACTGTGGAGAGAGGAAGAGCAAACAGAGAGAGAGAGAGGAGAATGTCATTGAGTGGTTACATGAGAATTTATAAAAGAAAAAAACACTTTTGGACACTGTTATCATCCATTTTTTATTTTGAGAATGGTGGGCTACTTTCTCAGTATGTGTCCTATCAACTATTATTCAAATGATTTCCTACATTTCCCAGTGTGCTTAATTGCTCTTACTGTTGTACAGCGCAACAGAAAAAAAGAGGAAAACATCTGGGGGGGGGGGGGTAAGTAATGTCTTCATAGCAGATTAAACTCTGAAAGTGATTTTTTTCTGATCACTCCGTCTACATGGCTGATGTTGAATCATGACTTTGAACCATTAAACAGTGGGATGAACCTGTGTCTCCTTGTTAAGTAAAGCAGCCTCCTCCCTGTCTCCACTCCCGCCCGTCCAGTCCTTAAACTTCTCTCTGAACAGAGCCGTCTCGTTGTGCTCCGAGAGGACGCCGAACAACGCCCAGCTGGGACGACCCTCTCCCCTCCTGAGAACAGAAGGAAAGCTGAGTGAGCGAATGTCCTGAAACCAAAATAAGGGTGAACACAATTTTTAACACATTCTTGTGAGTTGTTTTTATTATAAACCACTCACTCTAGACTCTAATTTTACATGGGATCTATTTTCTTGAGTGAATGACATACAGCAAATATACACTTTAGAATAAACAGTGGAAAATATTACCAACTGTTTTGTTACAGACTGAATCAAACCCTAAATAATGCCCTTAAATAATGCTATGTTATCATGCAAACTATGCCATCATATCAGCCTGCCTTTGTTTATGTGTGTATTTGTCTATAATCTGCGTACTTACACATTTAGCTGCGTTCTGGAGCCCTGGAGTTTATAAAATATGAACCTTTGGTTCTATACACTATATGGCCTGTCCCTTTCGTTTTGTGCGTGGAGCTGCTTCTCATGGTTTTGGATGAAGCAAAAATTCCTGCAGCCTTGTCTGAAAATCTTATGGAAAGTCCTTCGAAAAGAGTGGAAGCCATTATAGCAGCAGAATAACTATCGCATATGGATGTAATGTTTGAGTGTCTGCATACTTTTTTCAGCCATGCACTGTATTAGGCTGTAAAGTGAACAGTAGTAATACTTAAAAAAAAACAAAAACAGCTGTCTTACACCAGCTGCAATTCATTGTGTGTAATGGACTTACAACGGCATGCTGGGATTTTTCAGCATGTCGCGTGAACACGCTGCGGTTTCTCCATGTGCAGTGTGGAATCGCAAGCAATTTGTTCTGGTTTTACTGCATGCACTAAAGACCCACAGCAGACTAATGGGGGTTCTGCTGCATGCACAGTGAACTTAAAGTTGCATCCATCGCTTCGTGTGCACAGCTATTCTCAATTCATGTGGTGAGTACTTACAGTCATTCTCTGTTGTCTGTGGCGTCCACTGTTATTTTTCATTGTGAAGTACGGACTAAAAGCTTTACTCATGTCATCGCCTGGAGTGTGAACTTACAGCTGAATGCTGGGGTTACACTGCGTGGGATCCAGTGGGTTGACTCGACAGTTGCTGTAGTCATAAGCTCCGACCCACACCTGGTGAGTCAGCTGCAGAGCAACATTTCTGCTGCTGAAGGAAACATCTTGTCCATGCCACAGGTACACTTCACTGCCGAAATCAAACACCAGGGCCTGGAGAGACACATACACACACACACACACACACACACACACACACACAGAGGCACTTACATGATTTATGAGTTCTACAGTACATCCCTACATTTGAGAAACAACACAAAGCCTTCAACAAAAATCCTCACACCTCAGTGGAGCCCAGCAGAGAGATGGTGGGGATGGAGGCCCAGGCTTGTTCGTGAGGCACCAGTCTGTTCTCCACCAGCCTGTACACACAGTTGGACTCCACCACGCCGCGCTCAAAGAACTCGTCCTCCTCAGGTGCACCAGCTCCTGTAGATAGAAGCAAACAAAAAACCACGCTGTACACTCTATATGCACACACACGCCTTTCATTTTCAATCATCACTCAGTGACATCACCTTAACAAAATTGTAACTGTAAGAATGTACACCCGCAATGATTTCTTTCTATTACACATTTTGACCCCTAACCTCTGTAGTGTGTCCGTCCTCCTAACAGGCTCCAGAAGTCTGCGGCCACGCTGCTGTCAGAGTTCAGCCCCTCCTCCAGCTGGACGACCTGGGACGCCTGACAGCCGAGGTCTCTCTGGCTCTGGATGAATGATGCCAGCTCCGAGGCCTGAAAAACAAACCTCAACTTTCTAATACCACTGTAAAACACGCACACCGTATGGCACTGGCTAGTAACAGATTAAATGAAATGGTGGTATTAAAAATGATGGTTCCTGACACCTGATGAAAGAAGTAAAAAAAAAGAAAAAAACAACTTTGTTCTGCACCAAACTCTGTGGCCCATCAGATTCTGTAACCATGGAGACTTCACAGCAGAACTTCGGACTCGTTAGAGCAGCTGTAATGTCATGACCTGATGGACCTGAGCCATCGTTAACGAAATGTGTTTCAGCTGTGCTTCTCCTGCTGTGACAAGCCAAGATGGTCTATTAAGTATTTCAGCCACATAGCCTTTGCAAACATTGTTACCATACTTTACCACATGCTTTATTTTGGTAGCAGCTTGATTTAAATGTGTCTTCATAGTATTTAGATGGGGTCACTCGCTTTTATAGCTGTGATAGAAGAAGTGTAGAGAGTAGTTTTTTGATGTAGGGCACTAACACCTCACCTGACTTTATCTGGTCGACCCCTTTGTCTTTGTCATGTAGCTCATCCTCTAACACAGATTTCAGTACAACTAAATCACAACCATCAAAATCTGTGACATTAATGTAAATATGAAGGCAGTAGCAGCTGTCAGAATAAAGTGTGTGATAAAGCAGTTTGCAGATGAAATTCCTGTTCAGTTTGGTGAAACACTGCAATTGTTTTAGGTGGTTTTTGAATCCCAGAATGCAATTTCCTTTGTGTGAGGTGTCTGACATCTTTATTGGCTGCGCCACAGAGGAAAATGATGTTTGTATGCAAACCTGAAACAAATTCACAAATAACACTTGACTTCAGGTCCCCCTGTTTAACATTTATAAGCATAAAACATTCAATAAATGGGTTATAACACATTATTATAACACTTTTTAGTTGTAACCAGACGTTTTTAAGTGTTTATTATTTGTCAGCAATGATAACACCAGCCTCCACCTATGAGTGCCCACAGGAGTTATAGTTGAATGAATACATTAACATACAGTTCTACCTGCTTTCATCTACATTATAGTGCGTTATAAACCATTTATTAAATGTTTATATAACGCATATAAATGGTTACTAAGGGGGTTGAACTTAATGTAACTTAAAGTAATGAGAACAGACAGTAAATATCACAGAGTTAATCCTTTGGAATATGTTCAGCTTGATTAGGTAAGTAAACTCACTAAACCCTGTGTGTTTAATCCCTAGTAAAAGAGAACATGAATACTGGTGATTGTGTGAACTGAAAGCACAAAGCATCAGTGCACAAACAGTATTCAATCTATTTTACTGTATATACTGCTAAAAATGTATTTTATGTAAAAATAAAATGCTCCTTCTGGCTTCAAGAGTCGTAGCTCATCTAAATTTTTATGCATTATGTGGCATGAAATGTAAAATATGAATATGGAATATGTATTATACAGTATAATTACAACATCATTACCATTGTAAATCCCATACAGAGAAAACAACATGCAACTGTCTCGCTGGTACCTTGGCTTTCTCTTGTTCGCTGGCAAACTCTCCGCTCCACAGGATGCAATGCTCGGGAGTGACCAGCAGGAAGCAGTCTCCACTGTTGAGCGACCGCACTGAGGGCTCCACCAGACGCACCTGGACATGCCGCCTACCTGTCACCACAGGCAGTGGTTAATATAAACACCTGAACATAAGGAGAACATTACAGGGACATAGACCCATGTACCAAGTCTTCTCTGACCTTTGATGTGAACGAGCATCAGGCTGCTGAAGGGAGGGTAAGACTTGGTAGCCGCAGCATCTGAGGAGAAGACGGCGTCCTCTGATCTGACAGGATGTGAATCTGCCACAGAGGAGTTCTTAGACTCTGTGGAAAGGGGCAAACACAAAATGAGAGAGCTGAGGAGCAGAAAGGATGACAACATGAAAAGAAACGGAAAGAGACTCACTCTTCTCTGTTTGGATCTGTTCCTCAGCAGACGTGTTGACTCTCTCTCCCATGTAGTCCTGCCTGATGTCCTCTCTGGCAGCGAGGGCCCTCAGAGGGTTCCTGGAGCCCTGAGTCCTGCGGGACGGACGCACCGACCGCCTGTGCTCTGCTACTGCTGAAGTTAGTCTGCGCACACACACGCACACACACACGCACACAGACAGACAGACACACATACGTAGACAGACAGACAGACAGACACACACACACACACACACACACACACACACACACACACACACACGGCAGATAAGATTTCACATTGGCAGGACTGTTACCAATGTCCCACCTCCATGACGATGCAGTCGGTTATTATGAATAAAAGCTAATGATTATGAATTAACTATACATTAAATTACAACTATGAAGTCATTGTAAACAGGGCTAAATTTTGGAGCATCAAAATCCACCCGGTGCTTTAATCTATGCTTAAGAGTTTTATTACATATATACAAGTTTGGTCTCACAGTTGTCACACTTCTTGCTGCCATTGTTTTGTCATGATGGTATTGTGTACAGTTGTATATATGTTATTTTTTTATGCCATACCATGTGATTATGGTCTTGTGTCTTATGTAATTTTGTTTTTTATTCCTACAATGAAAAACAAGAAAAAAAAAATACAGGAAAACTCATTATAAATATATAAACAGTTGTTTTGTTTTTTAGGTCAACTCCTTTGTTTGTGTTTCATAAAATTAAAAAACTATTAACCATCTATCAAGCTCACATAAAAGCCTCCTCCTTATCACTTAAAACTGTTCATCTATTCGTCTTAAACTCATTATGATTTTACATATATGAATAATAGCCCAAATATTTTATCTGATATCGTTGACATGAACAATTATCAGAAGGAAGTATCTTCTATGAGCTTCTTGCATTTTTGGGGGCTTGAAAATAAGATGATACTGTGTATTTCCAGGCTGTGATGACAAAGCTCTGACAGCCATCTGGGAAGTTTAGAATAAAACACAGATTTAGCTATTTTCTTTATATGTTCATTTTGATTATGATTTTTTGGCTGATGAGTCAAAATATAGGATGATTTTTAAAACCAGCCCTACAGTCTGTCAGTGAAGTTCTATCATTATAAATAAAGACATGTGAAAACCTTTTTGAGACCCTAACATATAAACTACATCTGTCAGACACCTGATAAAATGCTATAAATTCTACAAATTAATCTTAATAAGAAAATACCTAGAACAGATGGTTGGGTTCATCGTCTCTCGTGCACATCACTGAACATTTAATAATCTTACAATCTGTGGTAAAACCAGGCTCACATTGGTGTGTTGGTCTGGCAGAGGACAGCCAGGTCCTGCTCGTTCTCTGTGGTGGCAACGTCTCCACAGGGTGGGGGGGCGCAGGTGGAGGGAGACGACTGATCGCTGTAGAAACCTCCATCAAACGTGCCGGATTCATCCGCAAGCGCCTCCTCCTTTGCCTCAGGTGGAGGCGCCGAGAGTGGAGAGCTCTGCGGAGCTGGCAGACGGCGGAAATGAAAAAAACGTGATCATAGTGAAGACTTTGATAACATTAATGACGAACTACCGGCTGTTTATATCTTACCTTCAAACTCCATCGCAGGCTGAAGGGAGGTCTCTGTCAAACCAAGAGAACAAACAGTTTAGAGAAACAAACAGGAAACTAGAGCTGAGCGTGAAATGAGAGTATTGTTAGTGTTGTTGAGATAACGCTGCTCTAACCTTTATATGCACATACTGGAGCTTCAGTGCATGGTCTCTTGTTATCAGAGGTCTCATTCGTGTCTGCCTCTGGAGATCCAAGACAGGTGGTCAACACAAAAGCATGCGTAGTGGTGTGGTGACAATGAGAGTAAAGAAGGAGAGTAAAGCAGAGCGATCCCTCTCACCTCTACTGGCCGTGTGTCCCGTCTCCTGCTCTTCTCTTTCCTGCTGTGCATCGTATTCCTCGGCTCTGTCCATCTGAAACGCTCCATCCTCGACTGCCTTACCCTACGCAGCAACAGAAATGCTTCTGTTACGATACACACGAGCTCTCACGTGGATTTAAACATCAAAAAGGTTATAAAATAAAAATACCTTCTGTCTCCACTGAGGTTGCGTGGGGTTCTTGGTGGGAGAGGGAACTTCTTGCGCCTCGAAGGACAGATTTGTCTGAGGATGAAATGGAAACAGAAAACAGGGATAATAAAGGAAACAGGTGAGTTCTTTAGACATGATGCACAACTACAGCAGAATGAATCTGACTCATTTAGGAACAATAAACACATGTGAGTGTCAGGTGTTAGCCAGGCTATAAAAACTCAAGATTCATTCAGGCATCAAATCAACACCGAAAGTAGATTTTTGACACAGAAGCAGAAGAAAACTGTAATACTACTACTACTAAAGTTTGATTAAGACTAATACAATTGATTTTTAACATTTCACTTTAAGTCTTGCTGCTTAGTACTGCTCTGCACGGCTAATATGTGCAGGATGTAGCTATTAGCATCATTGCCCGTTGGAGTTGCGCTGATTTATATTTCTTGGGATGAATACACTGAATATACTGAAGAGTTGCATCAATGTTTTGCTGCTTTTTGCTGCTTTGTATGATTTGTCTTTTTTTTTTTTACCACCTGTTGTTGACATTTCATCAACTTGGCAGTTGAAAATGAGCCCTCTGGCTGAGGCTGGCATATTTATAGAAAGATTAATTAATGCACATTATCATTAGAAAATAAAGAAAATTAAATGAAAGAAAAATGTCACATTAAATCCGAAATACGGCAAACTCTATCTTGCTTTGACATTCATGTTAATATATGAGTAGAGACTTATTGTGTCCAAAAAACTTTGAAAGTTTAACTTGTATTTTTCATTTGAGCAACAGGAACTAATGAGAAACACGTGAAAAGAAACACGCGCGTCATGTTCTTGATAATCATAACAAAACGCCTGGTTCACTTCATTTGTTCCAGGTTGTTAAAAATCAAAATCCGGGAGGTGGGGTGAAGGGGATGTGACATATTTAGTGATTTCCCAAAAGAACAAAGACAACCAGAGCACAGCGCTGACAGAAACAGCTGTGAAACGAGAGCTGTGATGTCTCACTTCAGAGTCGACTCGTTAGCGAGAGTGAAATTTTCACACGTCAGCTGTAAAAAAAAAAAAAAAAAATATCACATCCACCTGAATCACTGCATACAAAACACAGCAAACCAAGAGGCAAAAATGAATCTGCCATGCACCGGCTCACGCAGTTACCTGATTGAAACACATGATATATTGGGGCGTAGTGCTAGAATAGACAGAGGCAAAGACGGGTTCCTGGGAGAGAGGAGGAATTAGGAGAGAGAGCAGCTAAAACCATTTAAAAATTAGTCTAAAAATCGATGTTTTCATGATGGAGATTTGGACGGATTAATGCAAGTCATAGCATCAATTACAGACTTACCCAGCAGTGAGCGTTGACACTTTCAGCATGAGGGTTTTCTGACTCTTCCTGCAGAGGCAGAGTGAGGGAAAACAGGGGAAAAGATCATAAAAAAAGTAAACACAACAGATGGAAATGTTGGTATAATTAAGAGAACATGTACATGCACGCATACTGTCACCACTAAGATGATAAGGTCATTAAGGGGCATAACATTTAACCACCAGAATCATCACTCTGTTTACATTCCACATCCCCCTGTGAGACAGTCAAACCCATCTCAGTACGTAAACACTAACCAGCCTGCATCCCCCAGTAACTCAAGTCTGATCTCAAGACATTTAACACATACCAAATCCAGAGCGCTGTTGCTAAGAGATGCCACAGTATATCTGGTTTCAATGGCATGACAAATATCCAAATCTAACCACAGGCCTTTTCTCGTCCCGCCTCGGGGATGGGAGGAAGAGGGAACTCGCTGACCTCAAACCGCAACAGTTTTAGTTGTGGACATTTAAAACAAACAAAAAAACAAAAAAAACAATACAAACTTGAATTACCACCTTACGTTTATATGCCTCCGCCATCCAGTCCAGCTGCAGTTCATTAGCATGCGAATTCTTGCGTCATGGCCAAAAACATGTTTTCTGAGGTCACAGTGACCTTGACATTTGACCTTTAGCCATTAAAATCTAATCATTTTGGACTTCAACAGAACAGGTTTCTCTTTGGTGACATAACAGGGTGACCGCCTGAGTGATGGACTGTTAGTGAGGTCAGAGGATGTGCATGTGGCTAATGTTTGGATTTATTATCTGAAATAAGTCCCGCATAGTTCTGTAAGCATCTCACCTTCTCACTTTTTATTTTTTTACAGTGTTTATATATATATATATTTTTTAATAATGCTGTTTCAGGTGTCTCTGCTGTTTGTCCTCGTCACCTGTCTCACTGTTTTAACACTGTGAAGTGAAGCTAAAGACAATAAAGTTTTTGACTAACTACTATAACTACATGATTAATCAAGCCAAGATCTCAAAGAAACGAAAGAAAACAAAAGTGAACGTAGTAAAATAAACTAATTTTACACGCAACACAACCTCATCTTGATTTGAACTTCTACCTAATTCTTTAAAGTAACAGATAACATATCAGAGTCATAACCTTGGTCTCCTTTGAAAGGTAATTCTTTAAATGTTACGACCAAAAAGTCTGAATGTGTGTAAGAAACACTGAACCAAAGTCACACAGGCACAGACATGGTAGAAAAAGTTATTTTGGATTAGGGTTTATTCTGTCTTGCACAGACAGAATCAGGAGATATAGAGCTTTCAAACGCTGTGTAATTTGTCAAGGTTGTGTGAAGACTGAGTTCAGTCCAGACCAACACACAACCAAAGCAGTGCCACCAAAGTGTCCCAGGGGTGGGACGGTGTAGTTTAAAAGGTTAAAGATGGATGCCCCACGCTGTGTTGACTCTTCTGCTGCTTCTACTATCAACCCTCTGCTGACCATTAAACTTTATCCCTCTTTGCTGACAGTCTGAAACCCACTGGCTCCAGACCGGACTCTAAGAGGATTACAGAGTTTGGAGCAACAAAATGCAGACAAAGTGCTACCCTTTACTGATTCTGCAGCTGTGGTTCTCACTGTACATGCTGAAGACATCACAGACCTTTACAGTCACAGTGTGACATGTCTGTGTCTTACCTTACTGCTGCTGCTGCTGGTTGTCTCCTGCAGTTTAGAGGTGCTGTCCACCAGTGTAACCTGAACACGTCCCGTGGCTGTGGTCTCTTCATTGATCTTCCTCGCAGTCCCTTCCTCATCCTGTTGCCTTTTAGACAGAACACACACACATACATACACACACACACACACACACACACACATTTTTTGTAGCCACAAATATTCAGTGTTTTCCCCATATTATCATCATCAAAGCATTTTCATACATACTTCAAAATGTATTAGAATCAGAACAAGGATGTCCTGTAAGTGTAAGTGTAGCATCTAGCCAATATCCAGTGTTCACTGAACGTCTGTTACTCACAGGACTCTCCCAGTTGTGTCTGAGCTGTATTCCACAGAGGAGCCCGGCTGCTCCTGTAGCTTGGCCTGACAGGGCCTCTCCTCCCGAGGAGCGTCCTGCTCTGTCGACACTATGATCGGTGTACAGGCGATGGTTTCCCTCCTGTTTCGAGCCCTCTGCCTCCAGGGAGCGGCGGTCACCGAGACGCCCTCCGCACTTGAAGCCTCACATCTCTCCCTCCGTGGCGCTGCAGCAATTTCTTGCCTCTCTGTTCCCTCCATCCTCCCCTGTATCACTGTTTCTCCACAACCTCCACCATTCTGTTCATGGATATACGGTGCATCTGCCTGACCGTCCTCCGTCCTGCTCCACTCCGAGCCTCCGGAGCGGCTCTTCTTTAGGATTCCTCTCAAGCCAGGCTCAGAGTCGTGGCGCTGCTGGCCCTGCTGGCCGGGACCGGGCTCTGTGTCCGGTCTTGGCTTAGAGAGACGAACCTCACTGGGTTTTAGGTTGACAGACGAGGCCTGCTGTCTGTCGGACAGATGAGGGGACAAACAGAAGGCAGGAAGCTGTACGGGGCCTTTCTGGAGCTGAGCAGAGATGAAGAGAAAGATGAATGTTATCTAACGAGAAACGGACTTAAACACAAAATCCAATACCGTCTTCATTCTTTAAAAGCACCTTCTTTCTTTCATGCTCTTTTATTTTGTATGAAAATAGAAAAAATAAATAGATTTTAACTTGACTTTATTGACTAGGTTCCTCCCACTCACCAGGTTGACCTCCTCCACAGTGATGGGCTGTGTGCGGTACCGAGCCCCCTTCTGCCTTCGCCTCTCTGGGGGCCCGTCGGGTTGGACGGCCCCCTGCCTCCCCGGTAGAGACAGGTTGTTGAAGAGGGCCAGTTTCTCGCTCATGCTCAGCCTGCAGCTCTCGTCGGCATCCTCCTCTGACTCCCCCTGCACACACTGGGACTCCACTGGAAGTGCTGGTTTGGGGGCACTGCAGAGGAAAAAAAAAAATCACATGACACAAACATTTACAAGATGAGACTTACTGTCAACGAATCCCACAAAATGCAGAAAATAAATGAAGATAAAAGGTGATTTCTGCTTCTGTTAATCGTCTCATGACATCTCCATATTTAT